ACGAGCCAAAATGACAGCATTCTCCCCCCACCAGTTTATATCTATCAGTGGATAAAAAGATGCTTTGTCTGGGAGCGGGGGATCAGGGTGGAAGAGAGAGAAAAGAAAAACATTTCAGGCATTTGAATAGAATAACTTCAATTATTTAATAAGCCATTTAAGAGCATGACTTTAATAACCATATATCAACACAGCACAGAGACCAACTTCTCTTCATTTTAATAGAAGCATTTAAACTAAGCCCTATATTAAATATATTTTCCTTAAATAGGAAATTTCCCATAAATAATTAAATAACTTCCTTAAATAAGGAACATTCTCCAGTCCAACAATATTGGACAGTTTTCATTCAGTTTCCACCCTTCCTTTTTTAGGGGAGGTTGTGGAGAAGGTGGCAGAAGCTATGTACATAAATACTGGGAGCCTTGGAGGAAGCTCTGGGCCTTTTCTAGTTCAGATTCAGGCTGGGTTATAGTACGGAGACAGCATTAGTCATACTTGTGGATGATCTCTGGAGCCTCAAGACAGAGGTGACACACCTGTCCTTGCCCTCCTAGATCTCTCAGCAGCCTTCAAAACCATCAACTGGCATCAGGGGCAGGGAGGGGGGGAACTGTTTTTCAGTGGTTCTCCTCTTTCCTCCAGGGCCGGTTCCAGTTGGCATTGGTGGGGTGGGAAGAGGTCGAGCTCTATGGCCCTCTTATGAGGGGTGCCTCAGGGCTCAAATTTCTCCCCATCTCTATTTAATATCTACATGAAATTGCTGGGCAATGTCATCCATCAGCATGGGGTAAAATACCATCAAAATACTGATGCTACTCAGCTTTATATTTTCACCCCTGGCTGCATAAATAATGTTGTCAAGGTTCTTACTTAGTGCTTGGAGGTTGTGAGGGTCTGGATGAGAAAGAACAGGTTGCAGCTCAACCCTGTCAGGACCGAGTGGCTTTGGGTTTTTGGGCCCCCTAGATCTGATGATTTTTCAACTTTAACTCTGGATGGGATAACGTTTCCCCAGACAGAGTTGGTGTGCAATCTGGGGTGCTCCTGGACTCACTGTTCCTGCTTGAAGAGCAGAGGAGCCTTTGCCCAGATTTGTCTTGTGTGCCAGTTGCACTTGTTCCTGGACCAGGAGACTCTGCTCGCTGTCATTCATGCCTTAGTGAGTTCCTGGCTGGATTACTGCAACGCAATCTACATGGGGCTGCCCCTGAAGAACACTCAGAAGCTCCAACTGGTACAGAATGCAATGGCACTTGCAGTCTTGGCCACTTCCAGGTTTGCCCATGCAACGTCACTACTGTACAACCTGCAAGGCTTCCAGTAGGCTTCTGGGTGCAATTCAAGGTGCTGGTTATCACCTTTAAAGCCCTACATGGCATAGGGCCAGGTTACCTGTTGGAACATCTATCTTCAAGGGTTTCTACCTGTTCCACCAGATCCAACAGGTGAGCATGCTGCAAACAGCTTCTACAATGCCATCTTGCAGGACCAAGGAGGCATGCCTTCTCTGTTGTAGCACCTGCCCCATGGAACAGCCTCCCCAATGAGATTCAGATGGCTGCAACTTGGCTTTCTGGAAGGCTGTTAAAAGTTGGATTTCTCCCCTAGCGTTAGGGCCCAGATGTTAGAAGAGCCCAATATATGTATATATTTTATGGAATTTTATGAAGTGCCTCAGTTATTAATTTACTTTTTTCTTGTATTGTATTATTTTAATTTTTGCATGTCTTGCTCGCTACCCAGAGTTATGTATTTAACATGGGTGGCTATACAGTATAAATTTTCTAAATAAATAAATAAATGTTAAATTATCCTTTTAAAAGAATGCAGCTGGTGTATTACAGAACATCTATTCATACAAAGCAGAATAGAATTTTTAAAAATGCTCAGAGATATGGTCATGCTGTCCCTCAGAGTAGCAATGTGACATATTTCTTTGACAAATGGCAAATGGAATCCAGCTGAAGCTGTCATTACCACTGACAAGATGAAATAATATGAGATAATCTCATCCATGCTCTTTTCTGGACATTTATGTAAATGCACAATTATACTACTTCACATTGTTCCTCTTAAAATATTTAGGGAAATTGCCTACTTTTCTTTTGCTTAAGTATAATATTTAAGATAATGTATATTTTTGTTCAGGCATGCATGATAGAAGTAAGAATGATTTACTGGAGCTGGACATGAATCTCAGAGACCTCTTAAGCTCTGCTTTTTCTATGGTAACCCAGCCTTGGGTGAATTAGAAAACAAAACAAAAAAGGACTGGGGTAACACTGCACCCTTTTAATACAAATCCCACTTGGTCCAACTGTAACATTACAACAAAAGCAATTTAGAAGTAATCAGAAGTACAATTTAATGGTAAATATTGGCAGTAAAATATTTGCAGCCATTCCTGTAGTTTAAAATATGTTTATTTGGGAGTAAATGTGAAAAGAAGGAAATATCAAAATGGAAAAGAATGTAAGAAGACCCATGATGAACCAGATGAAAAGGTTTATTTACTTCAGCATCCTTTTTTATACAGTGGTGTGCCTGTGAGAAGCCTACAAAAAACATGAAGGCAACAGCCTTCTCCCACTGGGGATCCTCAGCAAGTGGTCCTCAGAGACATACTCTCTCTGAATCTGGTAATATATAGAGCTATTACAGCTCAAAAGTGTGCATGAGAAAGTAACCTTAAAATGCACCATTTAAATTGCTGTAGAAGGCAACATTTTATGCGACTGTTTATGTTCTGTAAAACAGATTCATTAAAGGTACTGAATTAAGAAAACCCCACTCTCTCAAATACAGTATTAGGATAAGAATACCAACCTTTAATTTTCTTTCGCTTTTCAAGAGAGAGTTTCCATTCTGGTTTGATTTCATCATATCCTGGCTAAAATGACAAGAATAAGAGTTTTCTTTCTAATTAAGTACTTAGGGCATCTCTCTCTCTAGAGATAGAATATTTCCTTCTACTAAAGTATTTCTTAGAAAAAAAAGAAAAGTAAATATTTTGGTAAATTCTACCATATCACTGCTATGTAATGACATGAAAGAATCACAAAAGCAATACATGACTGGATAAGATGGAAAGAGCAGACATATAAGATATGACAGATAAGATGGAATATTGCAGACATATTCAAAAATTATATTAAACCCAGGCCCTACTTTAATCATGGTTAGCTGAAAACATTTGAATCTCAGTGTCTGATTATTTCTTTCAACTAAGGTTGGTTAATTTTCCATCATCTCCTTTTCTTTGGCCATACTTAGGAAGATGATGACCAAAGCTGAGTCTTTTATTTTCTCTTTGTTAACCTTTTTTTTAATCTTCCCCCAAAATGTTGTTCTCCCCTACCCCACCGCCAATAAATACTCTGGTCTCAATACCAAAATGTGATTGGGGAGCAAACACTGGGACAGTCATCAGCAATAACATAGTTATTTAAGGTAGAAAAGAGAGTGGATGTTACATAAATACTGTACTATAGAGGTTAGTCAGATGTGATGGATGGTAGAAGCCTGGGAAGTCTTGCAGATCAAGCAATGGAAATGAAACTTTTGAATTGCTGGTATTAGTCAAGGTATCTGCTCCACATTAGAGGTAGTAAGAACTAGATCTGGATTCAAAGGCATAACATGATTCATAACTTTTATGTGCAAGGATGGAGCACCTTTCAGAACACCTTAAAGTAGCTACATCTTTTCCTGGCTTGCACAGCTGTTCTCCATAAATAATATGTGATCCTGGGAAAAGATTGGTTTGGTTTAAGGTGTTCCTAACATATACAGTGGGGCAAAAAA